CCATTGTAGTTCCTTTTTCGGTTTAATCACTTATATATTGAGGATTTTATCAGGTATCCCCAAAAAGGAACTACAATGGAGACTACAGGTAGTTCTCAGGACCTATGGGTTGCTGTTATCAATTCAATCAAAGGACCTTCAGAAGACGATCAAGCAACAGAAATTCTGAAAAAGGCCTCTTTGGTGCCATTCGTCGGAACCGAGATGTCCGGAGAAGGCACTCCGGCCTGTTTAGGTGTTATAGGGCTGGCTTTTGGGATTCAGGCTTTGTAGGGATCGTAGGATTTGTAGGGTTTAGAATCTGTATTGGCCGCACCAGATTAACTCTGGGCTTGAGTTCCGCTGATAGTTTGAATCAGGTGTTCTGGGGAAATTACAGATGCAAAAACCTAGGCCGGTGACCTCTAGGAGAGATGAGGCACAAGAAAGTATGTCGCTGCTGACCGCGGCACTGGGGTAACACAAAACCACGGTTGCTTTCGAGCGGCTCCCAAAGCATACTTCCGCCCGCCGCTCTCCTCCTGGCGGTGCACATAGGTTTGGGTGTAGGGCTCAAGGTTTAAAGAACTGATAGTGCAGACTCGGATCTGTCAGAGAAACATGCGGCACACATATCTATTCACATTTTCTGGTGTTTGAAGCCATAAACTTAAGTGTCGACCCCGTACAAATTTCTCAAACCTGGAACAACGAAACGCGCGCAGAATAAATACGATTATGACGATTATTACAAGTAGCAGATGCAACGCCCACAGTGACACTTGCATCTTCCCGGATGTCACGTATAAGCGTGCGCATGTGACAAATGTTTGCTAGTGAAATCAAGCTACTAAGACAGTATGAAATCAACCTGCTGCTCCTACTACTTAACAAGCTGAAAGAGTGCCCAGGCAACTCCAAAGACGGCGTCCACTTCGATGGTCGTTCCTTCAAGAACATCTATATACGCACGCGAGTCCTCTACGTGCAATGCCCTCCCTGACACTACTATAATTGTGGCATATTAACAACTATTCTTCTATTTGGTATTACACAATATATCGTATAATACCACCATACACATTAGAAGTTAATCCACAGCCAGTCAGGCCTCAGCAGATGCCTAGGCCTAAAGCTTCCTACCCTTTCCACCGTGTGGCTCTGAGAATCTGGGTTCAGGATGCCCTGCCTCAAAGTCGAGCTTCAAGCCCTCAGTCAAGAACATGGCCACCAGCTTCACCTCTGAATCGGTTTGCAGAGTGAAGGGCATCGATTCTTTTTCCGGCTCAGCTTCGGGGCTTGCCAGTCGCAACCCTGTCGTATAGTGCTATACCAAAAACATCCTAAACCCTAATTCCCATCTATGTACACATAGTGCATAGGGGTGTAGGCGCAGAATATGCGCTGCTTCGAGGATCACATCAGGGCTTCAGTCGTGAAGCCCGAATTGTAGTACCTATAGTCTCCATTGTAGTTCCTTTTTTTTGTTTAACCAATTATGTACTAAGGACTTTATCAGGTATCCCCCAAAAGTAACTACAACGGAGTCTAGGGAGTTGTCAAGGGACCCTGGATGCCGTGAAGGCCCTGACGTCTTCTCGCCCTACCTATAGTCTCCATTGTAGTTCGTTTTTTGGCTTAACCACTTATATACTAAGGACTTTATAAGGTATCCCCAAAAAGGAACTACAATGGAGACGATAGGTAAATCATGCTCGAATTGGGGTACCCTAAGGGTCCATGTGCCCAAACAGTGTATACATGGGCCCCAAAGTACTTACATAGGGACTACTTTAAGGCCAAAGTATATCTATTTGGGTACATGGACCGTTAGGGGTAATGAAGTTTTTGATCAAGAGATACCTAAGCAGCGTTTGACGACGGGCATCCCCGATGCATCCCAATGCGAGATGAAGGTAGCCAGGTAGTTTCCAGCGGTATCACCACGGCTTTTCTGTGCTATCAAACTCGTGACGCTGGCGCGCTCCTAAACCCAAACCCTTGGACTCTCGGTTTAGGATTTAGGGCTTAGAGTCTGTAGGATCTTTAGGCCTTGTCGTCCTTCGCAATAATGGACCACCCGGTGCCATCCACCATCGCTTTGGGTTCGCCCAGTCCTGCTTGGCAACGGGCCCCGCGATGATGCAAGAAAAGAGCCGGTGAACTGTGGGGCTATAATATATGGGGCCTGAACAGTTAGAGTACGGTTTTGGTGGTACATTGAACAAAAGTTACGTTAAGGAAATATTCCGGCCTCTGTTACTCTAGGGGCCGTTGCCATTAGCAGGGCTCATTACAGTGTCTCATCAGAGTAAACTCGTGCTCCTGCAAGAGCTCAAGAGGAGGTGCAGCTGTGTAGGCCGCATGTAGGATCTGTTATAATTTGTAGGACACTGAAGGTGCAATTTGTTTGTCGCTTGCATTGTGCCGAGGTTTGGGGCTCATGGAATCCATGTCGGCCACTTGCATGGTGATCGCTGGCCGGATGTATGGACTTGTGCCCTCTTCTCCGAATAGGAAAACCAATCCCACCATAAATGCCTTACGTGCTGGAGCGAGTCGGATCGCTCAGCAAGACAAGGGGCCGCGATTGTTGCAAAACTGACAAACATGGCCATAACTGACTCCAACACCACAGCTGCCTGAATGATGTAACCTCCACGAGCATGGATACCTTGTACGGGAAGTACTTAAACGAATTATATACCTACATGAGCCGATCGTGCTTGGGACCTGCAGTCTAGAGAATAGCCCTCTCAAAATGAGGCCCCAAGCTTAAACCCTGAAGCTCAAAATCCGGAAGCCCTACGCCACAAACCCCAAACCATCCGAAGATCCTAACCACCCTCCGATTCTGGCCTCCAATGGCCTCAAGGTCGATATCCACCTGCCGGACGTCGGCTGGGCCCTAAACCCTAAACCCTAAACCCCAGCGACTCTTGGTCGAACTTGGATCAGGCGGGGCTACGCGCCGTCCTTGTAAAGGCGAAGAAGCCCAAAGCTATGCTAACCCACCCAAAAACCCGTGCTGCAACACATCTAGCCAGAAGAAGTCTCGTTTACAACAAAAATGCAACGGCGACTGTACATACTGGAACTGATTTCATGCCGCGCCTGTCCTCATACCCCTATATGGAAACGGCAGCAGAACCCATCCCTTGAAGCCCAGTACCCTGGCCCAAAAAAGTTTAAACTTTTCTTTTAGTAGGGGGTTTAATATACCAAAAAGTTTAAAGTTTACCTACTGGGCTCCTAAGCATCCAAAGAAGCAGACGCCCAACACCCCAAGCCCTGTGCTTCTTCAACTCACCCCCCCAAACACCCTCAAACACGCAACCCCCACCCCCTCCCCCAAAAAAAAAACCAAGACCCTCAAAAAGTAGTTCCAAAGCCCCATCATATCAACTGAACCCTAAACCCTATAAACCCTAAACCCTAAACCCAAAGCCTTGCCCAAGTCCACCATCTCCTCGACCGATACTGCTACGCTGTGCCTCTGTTCCTCGCACAGGGCTTCACCCTAAAACCTACGGTTCACGGTTTGGTGCAATTAAGGTTTTTGGCTTTTTGGGCTGCAGGTGTGGGGATGTAGGGGCCTTGAGAGCTGAGACAAGATTAGGGTTTAGGGTTTAGGGTTTAGGGTTTAGGGTGCAAGTCTTTTATGTTGAGTATTTGGGAATGGTAGAGGGTGCGGGGTGCAAGCGTCGGTTTCGAGGCCTATAGGCTTCAACCGACAGCTTACCTCCTTCGTAAAATCTCCTTCAGTCCCGACTAGGCTGGTTGTTCTGCATGAAGCGCTCCAGTAGTTCTACGAACTATCATAAGGATGTTTTAGGGTTTAGGGTTTAGGGTTTAGGGTTGACAGGAGGCCCAAACACTGCCACCGTCAAATTCTGAGCCGCTGGCCCCAAAAGCCGACCCCCAAACTACCCTCGATTATACCCCAAATGCCTACTATTAGGGACCATAGCGGCTCGATTAAAGGGCCATTGGGGGTCCTAGTAAGTCCCAGCCCCCAAAAATGCCCTAAGGCTCCGAATCTTGGGCAGCATGCCGCATAATCACGAGGAACTGAAGTGAGCCCTGTCTGGGGACCGGTGTGACTACTGTAGGCCGGGTCTTGCATAAGAAGCCTAGGGTTTTGGGATAGATTAATTACATTTTAACCGTATATGGTACTCGGACTATAGGGGATCTCATTACTCATTATTCCGACCCCTAGACTAGATCTCTGAAACCCTACCAAGGGCAAGAGAGGCCGGCTCAGCAGCAGTACCATCCCTTTCCATGCATCATTGACTGGATCACATACAGCCGCAAGCCTCCTGTCGAAGAGAAAAATTGAACACAAAATAAATAATTCTAACATCCAAGCATCAAAGCCTTGCGACTCTAGCTACCACGTCTTGAACAGGAGCTGTAGTGGGACGCACTGCCCTGTGGAAACGTACAAGTGGGTTTGCGGTACAGGGTTGGATATGGAAGGTACGCAGGGCTTCACGCATAGCTGCCATATGCTTCAAACTGTTCGCAAGATGTCCTTCATGTTGCGAAAAACACATATGTTCTGTAGGAATCCATCACACGGGATGCTCTTCCGTCGTCCTCTCAAAATAAGTAGAAACAACTTGTGATGCTAAAACCACCTAATTCTCCGATTCTCCCGTTTGCTCTATTCAAGATTTGAAGTCGTAATTGCTAGCCCCGACCACCAGACTATCCGAATGCTCCCCACGCCCCCTAACCCCTAAACCCTAAACCCTAATCGATAAACCCTAGCCCTAATCGATAAACCCTAAACCCTAAACCCTAAACCCTACACCCTAATCCCTAAACCCTAATCCCTAAACCCTCTATCCACAGCCATGGCCTTCCAGGTGCAAGCGACGGTGAAATCCGTCTGGCCAGAAGGATCCACATCAACCTCGTCTCACCCTAAGGGTCCATGTATCCAGGGTTTAGGGTCTAGGGTTTA